CCCCCCCCCCCCCCCCCCCCAGCACCTGTCTTCCAGATTTGAACACCTCAAAATTCAGGAGTGCTCAAGCTCAGTTTGGGCAGCTGTTACTTCATTTCTCCCAAATCAAATATACTGATCCACTGTAACTTGCTGTAGAAAAAGTAGGATAAAATTGAGCAAGAAATGCTTCCCAGTGGTTATTAGGACTGGAATTGCTATTTTCAACAGCCATTGCCTTTTTGTTTGTTTGTTTGTTTGTTTGTTTAAAAGGAAGACAGTGATATTGCATTGGCAAATTCCCCATAGAAAGAAAGAATGGAACAAAAGAATAATAAAGGCACCTCAACTTTTCCTCATTTATGTAGGACAGTCTTATAATATGCATCCAGATATCCTCCAATCACACAAGCTGAAAATTGTTCCACTTTACTGCAGTTCTGTAACCATATGGGAACCAATCCTGTCTGTGTTCTGTGCACATCTAAAATCCCTGCTGAATGACCGGCCCTGGGAGCGAGTTACCAGTGACCCAGGGCTGCGGCAGAAGGAGGGTGCAGGTGGGGGGGGGAGAGCCCAGGGCTGGGGCGGCAGGAGGTGTGGGGGGGGCAATGAAGGGGTAGGGGGGAGCCCAGAGCTGGGGCAGCAGGGGGTGTGTGTGTGGGGGGGGAGAGCCCAGGGCTGGGGCGGCAGGGGGTGTGTGTGTGTGGTGGGAGAGCCCAGGGCTGGGGCGGCAGGGGGGTGCAGGTGGGGGGGGGGAGAGCCCAGGGCTGGGGCGGCAGGGGGTGTGGGTCAGGGGGTGAAAACCCAGGGCTGGGGCAGCAGGGGGGTGCGGCAAGGAGCCCAGGGCTGGGACGGGGGGCAGCCAAAATTTTTTTTGCTTGGGGCGGCAAAAAACCTAGAGCCGGCCCTGCACTTTAGACACCCTAGTTATTTGGGATTCAGATTTTTCATACTTTAATACCAATATCTACTTCTTTGGCTGTAGGAAGCACAACTTCCACCTGCCCAAAACCTCTACCCCATAGTAAAAGCCCTGAAAGTCCCAGTACCTTTGACTGTGCACAGTCTGAGTTCGAAAGAGGTTGTCAAAACAGCAAAGCCCCTGGCTTGCTGCTCCTTGACAGCTAGGACTTGTGCCCCTCACATGACTCCCTGGGAATATGAGTTAGTGACAGCTGCAGCCATGAAGTTGCGGCTGGGTTCTTAGGAAACAAGGAGAGAAAAATAGAACTGCAAGCTGGAAATTCACAAGAGGCTTCAAAGTAACTGTATGTGTGTGAGTATCTCTTTGTGTGTGTTTATGAGTGTCTTAGCATTGATGTGTTTGTGTCTGTATGGATCTGTGTGTTTATGTAGGTGTCAGTGCTGAGAGAGAGACTGTACATGTGCGAATGAATATGTATGTATGTACTTATGTGTCTCTGTGCATGAATGAGTCATGCATCTGTGCATGTATGTATTAGTATTTCTCTGTTCACACACAACTGTGGGTAAATATTTCAGTGCATGTGTCTCTGTGTACAGATATACTGTATTCCTGTATCTATGTAATCTGCATATATCTGTTTCTCTCTGTGTGTGAGATGACTATCTATGTGCATGCGAGAGAGACAGAAAGCAAGACAAGAGGGATTTCTTCTGCTTCTTTTATATTTTATTGTACCTGATTATGGCAGTTGTGACTGCTGATTTGGAAAGACTCTAAGTCAGACACTGAGTGGCCATTTGAAATTGATTCATCTCCATATTATTTTGATTCTGGGATGCAGTTTTTTCAGATGTTATTGCTGCTGCTGTGTTATTGCAAGCTCCAGTGCACACACTTCAGTTTTATCTCCACTGTCCCTGTGACACATGCCACTCAGAGTGATGGCTAAGTGGCTGCAACTTTAGATGACAGGAATCTGGAAAGCACACATGAAGGGCAAGCATCACGCCTCTGCCTCCCAGACTGGCTGTGATAGGAAACTTACCAGCAGCAGGTGCAGCTATGCCCTACTAGCTTCCTCTCCAATCTTCATCTGCCTCTGCAGAACTATTACTTCTTTATTTAGTGTCATTATTGTGCTTGGTGCTGTACAAGTCATAGACGAAGACATGTTCCCTGCCCTAAAGTCATGACATTCTAAATTAGATTGACTAATTATATAATCTAGCTGATTTCTCTGTTTCTTAGGTTGTAACCTCTTTGGGGCCAGGACTATCTTTCCATATACATTTGTACAGTGCCTACTACAATGCACCCCAATTCTGACTCAGGCCTCTGGAAAACTCTGTAATATAACTAATAAATATTAATAATTCTGGCCAGGGCTATTTAAAAGGAAACTACCTCAAGAAATAGTTATTTAATCAGAACTTAGAGTAGAAGTACCTCTCTAAATCCACAATTCCCCAAAACACTTAAGCTCATGCTTAACTTTGTGCACTTAAGTCTACTGAGGAGTGTCCAGATTTTTGGTGATGGATAGGTGTGTTTGGAAGCAGTTCTTCATTTGTTTCTCTGTTATTTTGCTTATATACAGGAAGGTTGACACCAAGTGGTTCATAAGATCTGATAGGCCTAGAGAAAGCTTCTTCAGAATTGGCTGAATTATGGCATGGTTTAGGGTGGATTGTAGGTTTCCCTCTTCAAAGGTGGTGTTAACAGTTTATTTCAGCAGCAGCCCTTGGTGCTCCCAGGCATCTTTTATCAGTCACTGTGACATGGTCCTGAATCACAAGTGATGACTATCTTCTTACAACACCTCTAAGATGTCTTACTTAATAAATATGCTGAAATCTGGAGGGGAGGGGAGGGGATGGAATTCAGTGTGTAGTTTTTCTGCTCTCTGCAGAGGGCATCTTGGATGTGGGTGACCAGTGACCCATTTTCTGTGTAGGGTTTCAAAAGTGATACATGAAACACCAGGTGCAACTTCAGAGAGCAGAGTAGTTGGAGTTCAAAAGTGACTGGATTAACCTGTTGTAATGTCTTAAAAGGGCCAAGAAACAGGAAGTCCAGCTTGCGAGCAGGCCTGTCTGTGTGGAAGTGCTCCATGCAGAGCCATTCTTTTTGTCCTACTGAATAGGTGGAGCCTTGCTGGCCTGCATGCTGCTTATACTCCACTTTTGCCTTTTTCAGGTGCTTCTTTACTTCTTCCTGGGCCTGACATGTTCACTGCACCAGGTCTGAGGCAGCTGAGTTGGGCAAGGATGCAGGTACTTGTGGATGGAATCTGGGGTGGTACACCTAATTGATAAAAAAAGGGACTCTGACCCGTAGATGCATGATCTGCGTTGTTGTAGGCAAACTCCATGTAACAGAGAAGTGAGGACCAATCATCCTGGTGATGATTAATGTAGCATCGCAGACACTGCTCGAGAATCTGGTTAGCCCTTTCCATCTGGCCATTGGACTGGGGATGGTACACAGAAGACAGACATGTGCAAACTCCCAGCAAGTGCAGGGCTTTGTGCCAGATCCAGGCTGTGAACTGCAACCCCCGAACAGAGGCGATGTGCTCTGGAAGGCCAGGGAGGCGGACTACGTGGCTAATCCAAAAATGGACTGTCTCTTCAGTGGAGGGGAGGCCTGTACAAGGGAAGAAGTGGCCCATTTTGGTAAAGTGGTCCACTACCATTAAAATGTGTACATTTGTTGGACTCTGGTAATTCTATACTAAAGTCTACAGTGATGGCCACCCAGGGTCGAGATGGGGTATCCAAATGCTGGAGGAGACCACAGCATTTGTGGCATGGGGTGTTGGCACAGGCAGAAACATCACAGGAGGCAATGAACGACTGGATTGGGCGTATCCAGGGACACCAAAAGGAACAGAATATATTAGTCGTTGGGTCTTGAAATACCCCAAGTGATCTGCTAGGGGAAAATCATGGCATAGTTGTAGGACTGTGACCCTTGTGCGTCCTGGGGGCATATAGACATGGTCTCTTATGTATGTGATCCCTTCATGGGAGTCATGTGGCAGAATTTCTGAGGCAGAGGTGGAGCATATCAATCTGAATATATCCTGATGAGCTGCAGTGACAAAGTTACAGGATTTAAGAATGAGGGTTGGTTCCTGGCTGGGGTCTTGGGGGTGGTACCGTATCTTAGGGACAGGGTATCCGCCTTGCCATTTTTGGATCCAGGGCGGTAGGATCATGAGGAAAATTAAGAACCACCGAAGCTGCTATTGGTTTAAGGCTTTCGCTCTAATAGATATTCCCGGTTTTTGTGGTCGGTGAACACCTGGACTGGGTGATGAGCTCCTTCCAGGTAGTGCCACCATTTTGCAAAGGGAATTTTTTAATCACCAGGAGTTCCTTGTCAAGTATTTCATAGTCTAGATCTGCAGGGATGAGCTTCCTGGAGTCATAAGCACACAGGTGTAACACCTGTTTGGGGCCAAGTCGCTGGGAAAGGACAGCCCCAACTGCCATGTTGGAGGCACCAGCTTCTATGATGAAGGCTTGTGTGACATCGGGGTAAGCCAATATAGGTGCTGTAGTAAAGGCAAATTTCAGTTGATCGAATGCATGCTGGGCCTTGGAAGACCAATGGAATTGGGCATTTTTTCAGAGGAGAGCAGTGAGTGGCTCTGTTTGTTTAAAAAAATTCAGGATAAATCATCAATAGAAGTTGGCAAACCCCAAGAAGCATTGCAGGTCACATACCGTGGTGGGAGTTTGCCAGTCTTGGATCACTTGGACCTTACTTGGGTCCATCTGGATTCCTTTTGGGGATAAGGTGAAACCCAAGAACTCCTATTAAAGGCACAGTTCTCAAGCTTGGTGTAAAGGCCATGCTGCCACAAGTGTTCCAGGATGATTCAGACATGAGCAGTACGCTGTTCAGGATAGTCAGAGAAGACCAATATGTCATCTAGGTAGACTACTATGTACTTGTCCAATATGTCTCAGAACACATAATTTATAAAATGTTGGAAGGTGGCCGGGCCTCAACCCGAAAGGCATTACCAGATATTCATAGTGGCCATACCAGGTCCTGAAGGCTGCTTTCCACACGTCCCCTTCTCTGATTTGTACAAGGTTGTACGCCCCCCAGAGGACCAACTTGGTGAATACATGGTCAGCTCCAACACAATGCAGCAGCTTGGGAATCAGGGATAGTGGGTAACAATTCCTGATAGTTATCTGATTCAATGAGTGGTAGTCCATGCAGAGTTGAAGATTGCCATCTTTCTTTTTGACAAACAGGACTGGTGCTCCAGCTGGCAAGGTTGACTTGTGGATAATTCTCCTGGAGGTATTCAGACTGCTGCCAGCTCAGGTTCTGACATGGCATAAACTGGTCCGAATGGTATTTTGGCTCCAGGCTTCAGCTCTATTGGGAAGTCATAGTCCCAGGCGGAGGTAGGGTTTCCTCATTCTTCTTTTTTAAAACACCAGCGTAGTCTTGGTATTTCAAGGGAGCTCAGGCTGTAACTGAAATGGAAGGTGTGACGTTGCAGTCTATATAGTTTTATAAAAATATGCTAATGAGTGAATATAATGTAACTGGAATATGCTTCATGCAAAAGGTCTCTTGTAAGGTATCATTACAAAGCTTATAATCTACTGAGTGTGATCATCCTATTTGTATAAATATACCACTCTTGTATCTGAAACTAGAAATATTAAATATAACTCTGAGGGCCTATTGTAATTATGCAAAGTGTGGGCCATTAATGGTGGTTTGGAATCTTGATGACGCCCATTAACCAGGACAATTGTCTGCAGATGGCTGTGTTTACCTGTAAGTCTTCCTGTATATGTGTGTGCTGGCAAGTGGGCAATGAAGTCTTGCAGTGACATGTGATCATGTCACCTGAACTGGAATCCATCTTTAACCTGGTGTCTTTCCATTGAGAAGGAGGGGGTGGGAACCCAGAGAGGGACAAAGGATTCCCGCCTTACGCAAAAGATATATAAAGGGCTGGAACAGAACAAAGGGAGGTGAGGAGCCATCATGAAGAATCCTCTAGCTACCACCTGATCTGGAACAAGAGCTGTACCAGGGGAAAGAATTGTGCCCAGGCCTGGAAGGTGTCCAGTCTGAGGAAAAAAACTTACTGACGCATCTCTGAGGGTAAGATTGTCTGTATTCAGTTTGATTAGACATAGATTTGCGCATTTTATTTTATTTTGCTTGGTGACTTACTTTGTTCTGTCTGTTACTACTTGGAACCACTTAAATCCTACTTTCTGTATTTAATAAAATCACTTTTTACTTATTAATTAACCCAGAGTACGTATTAATACCTGGGGGAGCAAACAACTGTGCATATCTCTCTATCAGTGTTACAGAGGGCGAACAATTTATGAGTTTACCCTGTATAAGCTTTATACAGGGTAAAATGGATTTATTTGGGTTTAGCCCCCATTGGGAGTTGGGCATCTGAGTGTTAAAGACAGGAACACTTCTGTGAGCTGCTTTCAGGTAAACCTGCAGCTTTGGGGCAAGTAATTCAGACCTTGGGTCTTTGTTGGAGCAGACGGGAGTGTCTGGCTCGGCAGGACAGGGTGCTGGGGCCCCGAGCTGGCAGGGAAGGCAGGGGTAGAAGTAGTCTTGGCACATCGGGTGGCAGCTCCCAAGGGGGTTTCTGTGCTACAACCCATCACAGAAGGTTCTGCCTGGATGGTCAATCCCACCTGAGTCTCTCAAGTTTGGATGCTGGCGCAGTCTGGAGACAAAACTCTGATAGAAAACAGATTTCCTGTGCTTGCCACCAAATGACCGGGTTGTGGAGGGTCAGCCAAGAGATACCAAGGATTGGGGAAAGTGTGAAGAATGGATCACATCAAACTGTAACACTTCTCAGTACCCATGAATCACAGCCTCCAGGGAAGTTTTTTCCTCTGTTACTGGACCAGAAGATAAAGGGGAACTGCCAAGACTCTCTACAAGATCAGGAATGACCTTGCATCGCAAAGGTATCTGCCGGATTTGGGCTGCTGCTGCATCTATGAAGATGTCAGCTGCATGTAAGTCAATGAGGGCTGGTAGGAGGAGATTTTGCAGGGATGCTCCAGTTATGTGCAACTGGCCCAGCACCTGCAAATGGGGAGCCCTTGGGCAGGGCTCTGGATGTGTGTTATCAAGACCAAAGTGTGGGGGAGCTCTTTTCCCAGGTTCCTTGAAGTTCATACAGGGCAGGCAGAGATGGAGTGACCCAACTCACTGCAGTAGAAACAGAGATGGTGTTGGCCTTGTTTCTCCTTTTCTGTGGAGTGAGCCATTGACGGCCCACATCCACCTGCATTGGCTCGGTGGGAAGCAGTGGTGAAAAGGTCACAGTACCTGGATTGGAGAGTTGACAGACCCCATTTTTACTCCTGTGACCGGTTGTCCATACAGATGGCAAGATTCATGAGGGTATCCAGGCTCATGGGACTCTGTACCCAGCATAGTTTGTCTTTAATTTCTTCTTGGAGGCCCCATCATAATTGGCCCACCTGTGCTGCCTCATTCCAGTCTGTATTGACTGTGAGGCAGAATTGCGCAGCATAGGAAGCTACAGTGCCCTGCCCCTGTTGGAGCTTCCTTAGGGCAGCCTCCGCTGTTCGAGTTAGTTTGGTGTGGGTTGTCAAATAATACCGATATGGGTCCCAGTTTGACAGAACTGGGCTGTCGCATTCCTAGAGTGGGGAGGCCCAGTTTAATGCTTCCCCAGAGAGTAGGCTGATGGCCAGGCTCACCTTTGCATGATCAGTAGTAGAAGCAGTAGCGTAGCTGGGGGGGTGCAGGGGCCCTCAGCACATTTTCCAAAAGCGGCGCCTTAGTTAGAGGTTACCATGGCGCCAGTGGGCGGGGCCCACGCTCTGCTCTGAAGCTTGGCCTGCCAGGCCGGCGCTGGGCTCCTGCAGGCAAGGGGGGGCAGCACAGCTGGAGGAGCCATGGGGAGGGGGCTGCACGGCCGGAGGAGCCATGGGGAGGGGGCTGCACGGCTGGAGAAGCCATGGGGAGGGGGTGGCACGGCCAGAGGAGCCATGGGGGGGGCCGCGGGGGCAGCACGACACAGCCGGAGGAGCCATGGGGGGGGGGCAGCGCGGCCGGAGGAGCGAGGGGGGGCGCAGCATGGCAGCCCGCAGCGCAGCCGGAGGAGCCATGGGAGGGGGGGTGGCGTGGCCGGAGGAGCAAGTGGGGGGCACAGCATAGCAGCCCGCAGTGCGGCCGGAGGAGCCATTGGGTGGGGGGGCGGCACGGCCGGAGGAGCCATGGGGGGTCCGCGGGGGCGGCACGGCACAGCCGGAGGAGCCATGGGGGTGGGGTCCACGGTGCGGCCGGAGGAGCCAGTCAAGGGGGGGAGCGCGGAGTGGCCGGAGGAGGAGCCAAGGGGGCGTGGCCGGAGGAGGAGCCAAGGGGGGCACCTTTTTAATGTTTGCTCCCCCTGCTCTTAGAACCTGGCTACGCCACTGAGTAGAACACTGAGGGTGCATCATGAACAGGAGGCAACACTGGTTTATGAAACCCCAGAATCGCTGGCAATTACCATCAAAGAGTCCAGCAGTTGTATCAGGGCTGCATAAGCCGTGTGTGGATTGTGGCACACAACTGCATGATTTGTTCCTGCAATAGCTGGTTCTCTGAGATCAGCTGGATGACACAGACCTACTTGGGTACATGTAGTGCTCCTGAAGGGTTAGCCAGGTCCATTCTGCTGGCATCGGGACCCCTCCTGGGGCCTAAATGACATGGGTGGTCTGACCTAGGAGTCAAAGCAGGAGTCAGGCCAGGTCAGATACTGGGAGGTCAGAGTCCGAGACAGGTCATAGGGCAACCCGAGAGTCAGGAGGCAGGCAGGGTCAGGTTACCAGGAGGTCAGAAGCAGAACCACAGATCGATAACCAGAATCAGGTCAGTTTGGGATACAAGGACATCAAGCCAGGGGAGCAGGAAGCACAATGCACACAGTTGAGTGCAAGGTGAATCCCTGTTGCATAGACAACTTCTTGTTCCTGTCTTGTGCTGGGTTTTTGTAAAAGCTGTGGACCAATCAGAAACCCCAGAATTCTGCCAATCAGATTCCAGGACTGGAGTCCTCTGTTGGGGTTCAGCTTCTGCCCTAGCAATTGTTAGTGGGTAGCAGGTTGAAACTTAGTCGCTCTTAAGAGCCCTGTTGGCCCAGGTTTGAGACCTGTGGTCCCTGACATTACATTACCAGTTCTTCATAGCATAAAGAGCAAATTTCTGGGGTGGTGTAGAGGCATTCTTGGTTGACAAAGAGAGTAGGATTTAGCCACTGTCATGGCAGAGGTTTTTAGGGAAAAATTATGTTTAAGAGAGCACTAATTTGCTCCTACATGTGAGTGCTGTGTGGGCCAGGCCATAACTGTACATGTAGGCACACTGTCAGTGTAATTTAGAGCCTAATTAGGACTCAAATGTAGCTTCTAAGTTTGCACATGTAATTAATTAGGAAAACCTGTGTGTCTGTAGTGCGTTGTTCTCTATTCCCCACAATTCACAGGGAATCCTAGAAGTTTAAACTGGAAAAATCCTATTTAGTCCATCCCCTTGGGAGTCAGTGCTGGATGGTCTCCTAATGTATATTCTCCAGAGCTTTGCACAATGTGGTTTCTATCACTTCCTTCAGGAAACTGATCCATATCACAGACCTCATGGACAGAGAGAATTATTTTGCTGTTGATTTGAATGTGATTGGATTTGTGGGTGGTGTTGTCCATACCGAATACTTAAAAGACCTTTGTGGGAAGACCAGCTACCGTGTCTGTTCTCTAGTGAGAAAAGAAACTACTCAGATGCAAGCCTCTTTTTCTGAGGAGCAAAAAAGCTTGACCCATAGTGTCCCCTCCTTGTAGCCTAAATCTCCTGAGAGAGCTCCAGTTTTGGCAGATCCATCTCACATCTACAGGAAACTGATAAACTCCCTAAACTTCATTTTGCAGTGTCTGATTCTGAACTCTATGCCCCACAAGGAAATCAAAGAAGAGGAACAAAAAGATTAGGAGCTGGAATGATTAATTTTATTATTAATTGTTAGCTATTTATTTGTTTATGCGGAGTCACTGATGTTCATGGTGTAGAACAGGGAAGTAAGAAGACAAGTCCCATGCCCAATCTAAATCTGATGTGGAGACATCTAAAGACCTAAGTATATCTTACTTAGTTAAATATCAATTATGGAGCAGAGAACAAGGATAGCTGAAGTATTTGAGGGATGTAAACACCCAGGAAGGAGAGAAACTGTTCAAATCGGTTAAAGGGGGATTGGGGAATAATAGAAGTGGTGGGATGAAATTTGGCAAAGGAAGATTTATGCTGAACATAAAGAAACATTCCATAATTGTGAAATCTATGAGACTGTAGAATAGTCTCCCAAAGGAAGTTAGGGAAGCTCCATTGCTTGAGA